CCTGATTTTTTTTAACATAATACACTGGTCCCCAGAATTTCTTTTCTTACAGATATTTACTATTTCAATCAATGGTGAAGGCACGGTTTGAACCACTGCACAGCAGTGCTGGTACCAGCCTACAGCCCAATTTTAGGGTATTGCCATGTCTGTATTGCAGAATTTATCTGTAAATTATTTGAATAATTGTATTAATCTGTACCTTTATTATTCTAGGTAAAAAGTAGAAAATGTCAAAGTAAGTATACTGAGACAAGTGAATGGAAATGTAGGTCTCAAATCTAACAAAACTGAGATGAGATGAAAATAATTCAGTCTGTCAAAAGTCAGGAATATTTGGTCTCATGTGGAAGCCGTTGGATTTAAGCCAGTTGAGCATGGAACTGCTGAGAAAAAGAACAAAGTTAGTTATATGAATGAAATGCTGCAAATATATTCTCAGTAATTGCATCTAAAGGGAAAAGTGTAATTAGATGTTTCAGAAATGGAACTTTAGTGGGGATAAAGAAGTACAGTGATATTTTTATTCATATATATAGAATTGAATCCATCCTCTCTCCTATTTATATGATAATCGTATCCCATGAACCCCAAATCAGGGCACATTTTTATATATGGTGAGATAGATGGTTGATGATATAAAATTTGCATAGTTTTAGAAAATCTGCAACAAACTTATTGTCCAATTGACTGGTGAGAGGAATGTAGAACATTTCCTTATTTTTACCTGAATTTGACTGAATAGTGTTTCTTTTATTCCTATGAAAAGCTTAGTTTGATTAGAAGATCATGAGAAAAATCACCATTTTGGCAGTACAACTGCACATAAATTCTGTAATCCAGCCTGCCATTTTAATCATGCTTAGTATCTTTAAACACAAAACTCTAAAACTGAAAAACATCTACAGGTATTTATTTCTTGATTTTTTTGTTTTTAGCTTGTACTTATTGAGTTGTTTAATACTCAAGTATTGTTCAAAGGGATTCAGACCAGAGACTGAACAATGAAAAGGCTCAACAATTTAGTTGTTGAGCACAACTGTTATCCAATAACTGAAAAATATGTCTCTACTTCTGGCAGGAATTGCCCTTTGCAACTAAAAGTATCATTTTTTTTCTGCCTCAAAGTGTCACAAATGAAAAAGTTGTGCTGAATGGATGTCTTCAGTATCTACAACCGGGAAAAAATGTGTTCCTCAGAAGGGACAGTGAAAAGTCTTTAGAAAACTGGGTTAGGATGGATTTGAACAGATCTCTTTTCTTATACTGCAAAAAGCCTTTAGTTTGTTATCCTATCTCCAAGTGGGGTCAGCTTGTAGCAAATTCAGGTCCGCTGCAGGAGTTACAAGTCTTCAGTTATCCAGCAGAAAAGGAAGAGCTCTCTGTCTGGAGTAAGCGATCACTGCCATTTGTTAAGCTATTCTAAGCATCAGTTAATTCCTTTCTAACAAAGGTGAAGAAGCTAAAGTCTTTACCTGGCTTAAATTAAGGGGAACAATACCTCTCTTTTGTGACATATTTAATGTTGTGTGTACTTCCATGCATTTGTGATATGCCAAGTAATGTAGTGATTATCATTCTCTATTTTACTGGGCATAAAGAGAGTTCTTAGTGAACACTCTTGTAGTTGAGAATTGATCTGACATCCAGAGACAGTTTTGTATTGAAGGTTCCCTGTGATCTTGCTGTGCGCTTGTCAGTGTCCTCCTTCCTGCCAGTCCTCCTTTGCCTTTTAAATTAAAACGAAAATGGAACTGTCCAGCTCCCAACCAGCCTGGGCACATGTCATACTCTGTCACGCTGTCCCCTCTATGTTGTAAATTTTCTACATCTTTATGTAGCTAAATTCTACTGATATTTCAAAACTCAGGCCAGTACCATTTTCTCCAAGAAGCTGCTATTAACCAGCTGGTTTGGGTGAGGTTTGTTCCCTGTGCCACTGCATAGCTCCCTGCCCAATCTTTCTGTCATTGTGGGCCGTGTCTGCTCTCCTTGTGGACTGTGATCTCCTTGAGGACAAGGGCCATTGTTTTGTGAATCCTTGGTGCAGTCTATTGCTTCTCTACTTTGTGTGATTAGTTAATTAATTAATTACTTCCTCTTCCTCATTGGAGTACATTGGTGGACGTAATAGCTTCCTGCTTTCCAGGACTTCTTCCAGGTTAATGAGAAGACAAATATACAAATATGATTCTAAGGCATTATGACACCATGAAACCGAGTGGCATAATTTAGACTGGGCGTTAGGGAAGTCTGAGAAAATGACAATGAAATTTGAGACTTCAAGGGAGAGTAAGAGTTACTCAGACTGGCTGGGGACAGGAGGAGTATTCGAAGCACAGGAAAGAGCCGTGACTGAAAGCCTTGTGTGTAAGCCTGTACTCAGTTTCTTAAGATGCTCACAGTAGTTTACTGAAGGATTACTTACATGCAAGAAGATGCACCAGTTTTAAGTGTGAAGCTCAAGATTTTAATGTGTATACATTCCTATAACCACTACCCAGGTCAAGATGATAGGACATTTTTATCACTCCCCAAGTTTCCCTTTTTTTCCTTTCTTCTAGATAATTCCACCCCAGGGGTAACCACTGTTTTGGCCTCTATCACTCTGTGTGATGCTTTTTAAGAATGGAAAGAAGTTCAGTGATACAAACACAGGGAGCACGGGGGAGAGAAGAGAGAGATGAGAACACAGCAGGCACATAGCAGCTTATAGTCTTGAGTACTTGGTTCAAGATTTGGACTTTTGGCCTGAGTGAAATGAGTAGCTATTGAAGATCTGTGCAAACAGGTGACATGCCTGGATCATGCATTAACAGCTATACTAACTAGAGGGGGTTGAGAGTGTAAATAAAGGAACTAGTTAGGAAGTTGCTGTAATAATCAGGAAAGATAATGTTGTCCTGGACTAAAGAATAAAATGATAATGGAGAAAAGTCAATTCTTGAGATGTATTTTGAAGGTGGCAGGCACTCAATAAACATTTATTAAGATGAATCTGTTAGTAAAGAGTATCATTTAAAAGTTATGGTTGCCCTTAAATAGTTAATGTCGCTGAAGGTTAATGGAGATATTCTCCCAGTTGTATGTGATATTAATAATTTTCCATGTTGTCAACATATACTTCATATTGAATTTATTTTATTTTTCTACCCACAAAGGGAATGTTGCTTAGATTTTTCTATAACTAGCCTGATATTGCCTTTTGACCATGAAAAAAATTTCCATCTTTCTTTCCATCTTTGGCCATGAAAAAGACTTACTTTCTTTTGTGTAATGAGTTTAAAATCATTACCAAATACAGAAATTTCCATATTGGCTTATTCACATACTTAAAATATGACTCACTTTGCCAGCCAAAAAAAAGTATGAAGAGAATGAATACTCCAAAGAAATATGCTATATGTAAGGTTCTACCCTGACATTAGAACCAAGGCATTTAAGCAAATTAATTCTTTGCCAAAAAATCTGGAATGACACTTATGTATTACTTAAGTGAATACCCTCATCGATCAAAAATATATTTTATTTTGCTTGTTTTTCCCTTTTGAACAAAGTCATTTCTCCAAAAGCCTAATTGGTTTTTGTTTATTTCCCCATTTTGAAAACTTGATACATGTTTTAGATTCTTTAAGTGGTAAAACAGAGTTAAAAAGTGGTAAGTTTACTGTGTTAATTTCCTAGGCTACCATAACAAAGTGCCACAAATGGACTGATTTAAAACAAAGGAAATTTATTGTGTCACAATTCTGGAGGCCAGAAGTTCAAGGTGTCCGCAGGGCTATGTTCCCTCTGAGACTCTGGGTGAAGTCCTTCCTTGCCTCCTCCCAGCTTCTGGCGGTGTGCTGGCGGTCTTTTGGCATATTCCTTGGCTTATAGCGGCATCACTCTGGTTCTGTCTTCATATGGCATTCTCTCTGTGTCCTCGCTTCACATGGCATTCCTTCTGTGAGGACACTAATCCCATTGGATTAGAGACCCACTGTATACTTCAGTATGATCGCCCTTAAATCAATTGCATCTGCAGTGACCTTATTTCCAAATAAGGTCATTGAGAGTTAGGACTTCAATGTATGTCTTTTCTGGGGAGAGGAACACCATTCAATTTGTAACAGTTACCAAAACCAATAAACCTAAAAGCTTCTGCCACTGGGGAATTACCTAGCAGCCAACCTCTCCATTTTCTACCTGCAGTTTCTTCATTACATGTAGAAAAATAACTACATAGAGATATGGAAGCTTGTTTATGTGTGTGCTCACCTCTACAGACCTAGAGTGGACCCCAGCCCTGATAACTCATGGAGTTATGGAAAACTGTGCTGATTGTGTTTCACAGTTCCATGTCTCATTTATTCTTTTTATTGAGGCATTGTCATTGGCAAAATTTTCTTGGAGTAGGCTATGTATTTTTGTTTGTAATTTCAGCATATTAGTTTTCATTCTCTTTCCCTCTACTGCAATTCAATATAAGCAAAATAAAATGGAATTCTGACGTAGGACTTTTGTTTCTACATCCTGCTTACAAAACATCAAAATGCTCAACAATTTGGTTTAGAATAGATTTTAACTGCTTCTTCCTTCATGTGGGAAAATGCCTCATTTGCAGAGAGTCTCTCTACTCTGCACAGGTGACCTGAATGATTCAGTCACTCAGCTTCTGAATTTTGTCAGTAACCTGATTTTTCCACTCAAGTCTCCAATAATTTGATAAGACTTGACTGACATTAAATGAAAATCCACTCTATACCAGGCACAAATATACAGAGATGGGTTATAATCTCTGTACTCAAAGACCTCTCCCTAAATAACTAAATCAAACACTATTTATCCTGACTACTTTTCTTAGTAACTTTCACATTGGATTATGGTGTATTCAAATATGGACATGAGTTAAACAGATGGAGGGGATGAATAAATACATCAGGGGTGTTCAAGTTACTCTTGTATTCCTTTCTGTGCTTCTGTGACTCAGCTTTGTTTTCTGTATGTTTTTATTTCAGCTGAAAGAGACATCAGTGTCTACTGTGGGGTGCAGGCCATTACAATGAAGATTAATTTTTGCACCGTGCTTTTCTCTGGTTATTCTGAAACAGACCTGGCCCTGAACGGAAGGCATGGGGACTCCCACTGCAGGGGGTTCATCAATAACAACACCTTTCCCGCAGTGGTCATTTTCATCATCAATCTCAGCACCTTGGAGGGCTGTGGAAATAACTTAGTGGTAAGATTTGTGTGAAATTGTGTGCTAGGTTTGGGGTCATAACTAAAAAAAATCCCCATTTCGTGAAATAATCACAAGCCCAATCTATCTTTAAAGAAAAAAAAAATTCCAATAAGACTGAACAAATCACTTTCCTTTGCCTGTTTGAGGCTTCTGCTCCCAAATACACAATTTTATTTCCCAATAATGGTTCTATTTCTTGTAGCTGGGCAGTTGAGGGACCTGGGATCAGCTGTGCTACTCTGAGCAACATCTTTTTAAATGAGTGACGTTAGTGAATTTTTCTCTACACTTTCTTGTTCATTAGCTATGGTCCTCATGCATTTTATGGAAGCATCTTATACAAAAATTATTTGTTTCAGTGGATTTGGAAGTGAGTCATTGGGCCTACTGCTTCTTAATGACCTCATTCAGAAAGGAAGATGAAATATAGAATGCGAAAGAGAATTTTCAAGACTTCATGTTAACCACTGAATGATCCACACCAGTGTTTTGTAAAGGAAATCGGACTGCATTTCCAGTGTGAAATTCTTCACAGTGTGGGACTGTCCTTTGAATTTCAAGATGTTTACCCTACCCAGTCCTACCCATGGAAGTCCAGTAGAATACTTTCCCCAGTCATTGTGAAAAATCATAACACTACTTCAAATTTCTACCCTGAGTGAGAATTACTGGTCTATTCTATTCATTTACTTGTTCATGCAATGAATATAAACACCAAAAATTGAATTAAATAAGAAATTGACTTTCCCAGGAATTAAAATTAATTGCAATAAAAATATTGTGATTTGGGGAGTGATACACTGAAATTCATCAGGGCTACTTTTCATTTTTCTTGTGTAAATATAATCTTATTGGTAAATCTTAGCAAAGACCAAAAAGAGATACAATGAGCATGGCCACTTAGCCCAATGAAGAAGGTGAAATCAGCTTTTTCTCTTCATAAATTATTGTTTGGAACTAAGGGGGAGGCATGGTTGTTCTAAGGGCAGGGTTTCTGAGACTTGGTAGGTGGGAGACAGGAAAAAGAATTTTCTTTGCATGTCCTTTTTTATCTTTTCCCCAAGGGCAATTAGAATATTGTGCCTGTGACCATTTCCAAGCCCGCAGCTTGAGTTTTGTTGACTCTTTTTATTAAAAACGTTTATTCATTCTTCTGAGTTGTGTGCAGAGAGGTTATGAAGTGGACCTGAGGGAGAGTTAATGCAGGTTGATTATTACATGTCCGTGTTTCCTTGCGGAGGGAGGGAGCCTGCAGGGAGAGCAGTTGCATTTCCCCTCATCCCACCAGCCCCATGGCCTTCCGTCCGTGGCACTTTCTTGTCTGGATTTGAGCCTTGCCTGCTGCCAAGAAAACAATTCAGGAGAGATACCAGGCAAAGCCTCTCTGTGTATGTGTGCCTTTTAGTTTTTTAGAATTGAATAACTTTGGTGTACAGATCAGGGTGTATGTGTGTGCGTGTGCGCGCAGTTCACAGACAGAATTGGTATGTTTAGCTAGCCAGTCAGGCAGGTGGCGAGTGGAGGGGAAGATTCATGGCTTTTTCATTTCTGCTTTCTATGTCACCAACTTTGGAGTGGGATCCAAGGACGATCCTACATGGAAAACATTAAGTAGATGATGAAATTACTGGATTAGAGTCAAAATGTTTTCATTCAAAATGATTCTGGCTCTGTTCATGAATCAACTAGATAATTGCCTCAGCTTTGCCTATGTACTCCTAGGTTCATGCAAAAAATTTATTCTATTGTTGAAAATTAAGCATACACATTTCTGTGATACCTGCTAAAAGTGTTTATTGAGTGTACTTGACATACACTCCCATGCGAGAGGCTGCATTCCTCTGTGGTATTATGGAAATTAAGAACATTATGGATTATTTCTTCAATGGTGGTTCTTAAATTTTAGTGGGACTGGAAAATCCAATGAAAGCTAATCAGTCTCAGGAAAATAAATGCCTGGAGGATATTTTTATATAACTTCTGGGATTTCATAATCCTCTTGCAACCCATCAATGAACTATTGCCTTGGAAAAGGATGAGAGTCTCCATGTACCATAGAGGAAGATCCTGAGAAGATGGAACCTCAGAAAATTTGTGACCTTAATTCATTTGCTCAGAATTTATCTTGGGCCCCCAACATGCTGGTCTTACTGCTATGCTGAAGATGCTGAGACGAACAAGCCTGAGAGGCTTCCCTACCCACAAAAGATGCTTATGGCTAAGGCGCTGTCAAGTCAGGAAGCTGCTCATGCACTGTGACCACTACTCTGATGGAGATGGTCACTGCCTGCAGGAGGGGCAGGAACAGTCTCCTGGGGAGATGGGATCCAGGGCAGGAGGATGTGTCATGGTGAGGCCGCGGAGACTGGAGGCAGAAGGAACACACACCGGCCAAAGTCGCAAGGGCCTTGGGACTGGAGCATCATTAACCAAGAGTGGGAGTCCAGAGCTATGACGCTCAAGTGGGAAATGGAATTAGATCAACAGGGGTCTGTTCATCTATGGCACAGAATTTGGACTTTACCCAGAAACATTTTCAAAGAATTTGTGGTGCTCTGAACATATAATCTCTCTCCTTTCTTATATAAGAAATATGAGTAAAATGTCTTTGGTAAGTATGAAGTTTTATTTACTTAAAAAAAACACATAATCAGTTATAAATAGCATTATGTATTTATAAAACCAAACCCATTACATGTTATGTTGAAATGGACCCTACAAGTGACCTGGTCTAGTGTTTTATTTTGCATATGAAATGTCTAGATTTATATATAACCCTTTAATTATTGGACTTGATTTGCTATTCTAATAGGTATCTACAATTCCTGGAGTCAGTGTGTATGGGAATGCAACTTCAGTACAAATAGGAAATATTTCAGGATATATTGATACTCCAGACCCACCAACAATCATCAGCTATCTACCTGGGCTCCTATACAAATTTAGTTGTAGTTATCCATTGGAATACCTGGTTAACAATACCCAGCTTGCTTCGTAAGTTTGCATTTTATTCTTGCTTTCACATATTGCCTTTATGACTGTGTCATTTTTTATTCTTGAGGGACTTTATTCTTGAGGAATAGCCAAACTCAAAGTAATGGAAACCACATTAAGTCCTTATCTATCTATCTACTTACCTCTCTGTCTATATCTGTAATTGTCATGACCCATATAAACGACTCAGGAAATATAGTGTATATATATATATGTATTTCCCCCAAATTAAAATTGGCTCTAACTAGACTTAGGTGTTTGTGTTAGGTGTTTGTGTTAGGTTCTTGCTCCCTTCAGAACTGCACGGGACTCCAAGGACTCAGCGTGCTTATGCAGTTCAGAAGGGCCTGTCATTTTCCAGTGCATAGAACATGCAGTCACTCTGTCACTGGGCCCTGCTTGGCTTCACTGTCTGCATGTGCTCTCATGCTGGACTCTGTTGCCCCAGAATCTGGGGTCTCCATGCCTCTGCTGAGGTGTCACCTGCATTGGTGCTGATGGTTCCTGAAGGAGATGGTACCACCCAGTGTTAGAGCACTCCATATGTGGTCTGAGGTCACAGCCTTCTGTTTATAATCACATGTTCATTCATTGTTCCCAAGCCATATGTTCTAAGACAGGATTACATCCACATTATGCCATAGTCATCTAGGTTTGTCCAGTAATTTTTTGGGGACTGAGTGAAAACTCTCCTCCAATTCTAGAGTTAGCTATCAACAAAGGCATAGCTATTGTTTAATCTTAGTCACGTGGGACCATGGAGACTATGTCTTGATCCAGCTGAAAAAAATCATAGCTGCTTTTAATGGTACAATGATGATCAACACCTTGATCAAAAGCAACATTTTGATGTGGGAAATAAGAAAAGAAAGCCCTGGATTCAAAAGGATACAGATGTGGAGAAGCAGGTCATTAGGGTGTCATGGTCGCTCACTCTGCTCCCTGCCTCTTCCTCAGTAAACACATTCCCAAGATTCAATGTGTGTGGAAATTCATTCATTTATGCAATAAATATTTATTAGACATCTACTATGTACCATGAAATGTTCTAGCATGAATAAAGTAAAGCCAAATCCCTGATCTCATGACATTTCTATTCTCATGGAACTGATGAAAATGAATTTGCATCAGACTCAAATTCTTTTGGAATGATGTTTTTCTGTAAAAAGTTTACCTATGTAATCCAAAATAGAAAAAATAGATGCCTTTAGAAATAAAAAGACCATAAAGAACAGTTTGTCTTTACTTGGTCCCTCCTGCTTTTTGATTATTTATCTGTTTGGTGATTTAAACAATACACCCACTCTAGGCCTAGTTAAAAAAGTATGTCAGGCTTACTCAATCGTTTAAGTGCCTTAAATCTAACATTAAGGTACAGCTGAAAATTTTAATTTAAATTTCATCAATGCTTTCCTTTTTCTAAATATGTTTTAGGTCGTCAGCTGCTATTTCTGTGAGAGAGAACAATGGTACGTTTGTCAGTACTTTGAACCTGCTCCTTTATAATGTAAGTTGATGGATGAAGGATGTTATTTTCTCTTTCATGGTTCTGAGGAGCCATTTATGTGAATGGCTTTTATATAAAAATCTACCAAAAGCTACATTAACCCCATTATACTTTTGGAACATTTATCTCTCTTTACTACCATCTTCCTATATCTTCAAGATAAAGGTATACTAAAAACTCCATTTTCTCAAAGTTGATAAACGATTTAAATTTTATTTCATCAATGTGATTCTGCACAGTTACTCCAGGTATCTATCTATATTTATAGGTATATATTTGTGTGTGTATATGTGTGGGTGTAGTTAAAGTCAGGGTCAAGATTTTGGGAATAATATTTTTGATATTATATATATATTATATATATTATTTTTGACAAAAGAGAAGGCCCAAGTGGTCCTTCTTTTGAAGGATGCTTAGTGATGAATGTGTTAATGTTCTCAGTATGGGTTTTAGCTGATGATGATTCTGTCCCATCTGAAATAATTTGAGTCGACTACACAGTATTATCTAAACTTTTGTCATGTAAATATCAACAGTGGCAGCAAAAACTGAAAAATACATGGATTTCTATTTATAACTCTAACATTAATCCCTCAAATGATATTTTCATGTTGATTAAAATTTTTTATTCATACATTTAAATGCCTGATTTAAATATCAATTTTTCAATCTATCAACCAACATTTTTGTAAATTATGAATCCGATTTTTACATTATTATTCATGTCATCATGGCACTGAGTTATAATTCATGCAACTGATTTAAAAGTCAGTGCTTTATACTTTGAATATAATGAGCTATAAATATTGTAGTAGGACATTTTCCAAAGGCATTTAAAAAATCTTATTTATAAGTTTGTAGTCTGATACCACAGAGTTTTAAACAACAAATTAAAAATGTGTTGGAATGAAGATTGCTTTTCTGTCATTTCTGAAGTTTCTTCTGTAAAGAGAAGCTGCCAATTTACTTGGTTTTACAATACTCAGCAAATGTGTGCTAATATTCATTCCCAATATGGTCAGATATTTATTATTGTTGTGAGCAATATTTTTAAATTGGAAAGTTTCTATTTGTTGATTTATATGTGTAAGCTCCCCGAGGTAGAACTGAGATGACTGGTTTGGATTCAATATTTGTTATAATTGAATGAAACAAAGATAGAATTCCTGCTCTTAAAAAAAGTGAAAAATATGTCCATGTGGCATATAATGATAATTTCCATTACTTTCTGTGAAATTAAGCTATTCTCTTACTCTATTTTTAAAGCAGAGAATCAAAATTGAGAAACGTGGCTTTGAGCTTTGTAGTTACGGTCTTCCCTTTATCATTAGAAGTAGTATTATAGTCCTGTTGCTAACTAGACATAATCCTTCCGAGAGTTCCTAGAATCTTAATGCTAAGTAAAAGCCTAGAATTTGGTGATAACCTTAAGGTTTTAATTCTATGGTAAAAAGGCAACCAGTTGGTTGATTACAGATTATAAGTGAAAGAGGTTGTGCCAAAATACTTCTCATTCTTCACCAGTTTGCAGTGTAAGTATTATTCATGACTGAATTAAAAAATTAAATTAAATTATAAAAATTATTTACTAAACAATTATTTAATAAAATTTAACCGTTTCCTCACAGACTAGTTTTTTTCTCTTTTCCTTTAACAGATACAGTTTTTTAAGAGTAATTTTAGATTTATAGAAAGATTGATCTGAACATTCAGAGAGTTCCCACAGGCCTCCTATGCCTTCATATAATTTCATCTGTTATTTGCACCTTTGTATTATGGGGTATATTTGTACAATTGATGAACCAATAGTGATATATTATTAATTAAAGTCCCTAGTTTACATTTAGGTTCACTCTTCCTATTGTATATTTTCTGGGTTTTGACAGATCTATGTGACATGCATCCATTATTGCTGTAGCATAGAGAAGAGTTTCATTACCCCGAAGTAGTTTTTTAACATGATGCTATTGTTACAAGGCTTAAAAAGCTATTAATTTACAATAGAAAAAAAAGGCATACTTGTACTAATTAATCCAAAATCATATTTATTATTTGTTTGCAACACTAATGTTTAGCTACCCGAATGTAATTTTATTGCAGCATTTCAAATTAAACATTTTACAACCGTCGGCCTTGTCTTCCTATTTCACATGCAGAGTTTTTGATTTCTAACACTTAGGAATGATGAAGTTATATACACACCTATTACTTTTATTCTCTGGTTAGTTATTTGGAGAAGAAAAGTTCTACCCAATTGGTATTCAGTGCAATTGTTTATTTCTATGTGTTCTGGGAGTCAGTAAGTGTATAGGAAAATTTTATTTCTACAAAATGACTTTTATTGACTATGCAATTTCCATATATGTGGGTTATTTCAAGTTGAACTATGGCCTTATTTTTACATAATATAAACTTATCAGTTTTGTCCTCTATGGAAGTGGAAAATAGGGATGATTTCATGAATTCGAATTGTACCTAAATATTTGTGTTTTCTGAGCACATAGACAGTAAATCTGCAGCAGGCTATGGTAATTAAGAATTTTATTAAAGTTACAGAAAAAAATCTAAAATAACAATTGATTTTAGGGACAATATTGTACTAATAAGAATAAAGTCAGCTATACAAAATAAAGTCAGAAAATTACCTTTTAGATACAATTTCAGGAGGAAAACCTTGATGATCATGATTAAACCACAGCTGAGCCATATCCTTTGCAAATGGCTAGCCATCAAAAAAATAAAGCATTCTGGAAAATACTGATGCAAATATAAGATGAAAGAGCTGTATAGTTAATGGTGTGGATTACTTGGAGAAGTTGGAAAAGGAAAGATAGGAGAACTTGGGAAAGAGCCAGAAAGATAATTAAATAAAAATACCACATATAGGTCTGGTTAGAGGAGCTTTTATCATTTATCACAGAAACACAGGAAATAAGTATGGCATATAATCCCTCATTTATCTGGCTTTATTTGGGAATGAAATGCTCTACATGAATGCAACTTTTCAAAAGAGAACTATCCAAACTACTACTGTTTTGATCTTAAAAGTTCAAAATGTGTTGCTTTTTTCCCAGTCTTCTTAAGCAGAGTATGCTCTGCTTTTTGCCTTTGTTTGATGACTTTAAGAATTTATAATGAACATTAAAAATTTCCCTTTGCTGCAAAATAGCAGTAGCTTTATAATTACTAAATTTAGAGGAGACAATTTGCCTCCATGCAAAATGATTTGACAGCTTACATTTGTAGGAGCATTTTTTGCATTCTGTAATTTTTTTGTCTTTATTATCAAATTAAGGTAGTCACTTGTCAATTCCTAATCTCCTGTTTTCATCTACTGTAGGTTGGGAAGTGATATAAATAAGCTCTTTGTAATTGGTCTAAAATAGGAGTAAAAAGGTAAAAATGATACCCTTCCGTAAGGAACCACCAAGAAATTCGGTGTAGGAATTGTATGGCATGCGTTTTGGTAACTCATAGAACATGTCAGTCTCTTTTTAGTTTTCTATTAAATTTTGGTAATTTCATATTGCCAAATGAGTGATTTTGGATAAGTGACAGATTATCAAGAGCATAAAGACCTTCAGCTCCAATGGCGAAGGGTTTAAACTATAGCAGATATAGTTTAAGTAAATTGAATATTAAATTAAATATCAGCCACTAACTATTAACCATTGAATATAAATTAAATATACTGAACATTAACCATCATATATGGTAAACTATGGAAACAAAAAGATTTATGCATGGAAGTGAATTTGTTATTTGGAGATGGTTTAACAATTGTTCTGTCAAGAAACTAGAGGATTAACTGGGTCCTTTTTGGAGTTGTTTCTGTAGGTTTATGTTGATTTGCCCCCTCTTTCTTTTTTATATGACATTATTGTCTTAAATGCTAAAAGTGTTGTTGTAAAGGCAATGATGGATTAACTGTTTCTTTTAATCATTAGGATTCAACCTACAGCCAGCAGTTAATTATCCCCAGTCTAGGATTACCTTTGAAAACCAAAGTATTTGCTGCTGTACAAGCCACCAATCTGGATGGCAGGTATTTTCAAACTCTTAGTTTTTGTTGGTTAAAACATTTTGGCTGCCTAAGCCTCATGAATCATAAAGTTAGATCATTCATTTTTAATTAAAAATATTGTCACTGCAACACCATTTAGAAGTCATAATACATAGAAATAACAAATTACAGAGATTAAAGAGTGATGCTTGTTTTATGTCATTAATTGGGAAATAACAAGTCTTCCCATAAAGAAGGAGTAGTGATTGGAAGAGTTCTCTCCATGGAGAGATCTGGGATACTAGAATGTTCTTTTTTTACATCTAAAAAATGATAAGCCAGGTGCAGTTATTTTGTGAAGACAAAGCTTTTTGCACTGTTCTATATGTATGTTACTATTCAATAAAAATTTATTAAAAAACAAAAGAAGTTCCCCCATAAAAATCTGGGCCAAAATTATATAAAACTATCCCCAGAAACATACCTGCAAAAAACCAAAATCAATCAACTTTCATCTGAATTTGAAAATACAGAATGATCAAAATCTTAAGGGAGTTCAAAAGCTGAAGATCCAGTAATGCCCTGTGATAAAAGTATTATGTGTAAGTGTTTTATTTTGTGATTTTCATGTATTATTATTTAAACTTTTCATCCTGAAGAGATTGGTATACTCTAGAAATTTGGTTTTAATTTACCTCCCTTTTTTCTTCTTGGTATTACTATTCTTAGATATACAGTTTCTTTAAAACTGTACTATCAACTGCAGGATTTTTTTTAACTTTAGAGCATTTACTTTCCATGGAATAGCAGTGTTAAAACACCAGAGTTGGAATGAAATAATGTATAAACCTAGGCACAGTCTGGCCTTGTGGAGGAAGGGGTATTTGCCTCCTGGCTTTCTTCTACCCACAGTGTCCACCATAGGCTCCTACTCTCACCTGCAATGATTCTGGGGTAATTTAGAGTGTATAATTTTTGCACCAAACTCCTTTGCTGGATATGGTATTATAGTAGCCTCTGTCACCTGTTATAGACAGTAGATTCTGGAAACAAAGAGCTATTGTTACCAGTGAACATAGAAGTATCTATGTGGTTCATGTTCAGGTTTTGTTTCTTCAGACTTTGACCATTGTGTTTCTTTGTACACAATTTTTTTTTTTTGTGTGTGTGTGTGTGTGTGTATGTGGTATTAGCCTTAACCCTATTGAATGTAGGATGGCAATTTGTTGCAGGTTTTTAAATACCATATGTTTAGAATTTTAATAGATAAGAAGCCTCTGCAAATAACTAAAAAAATACCTATATTCAATATTTACTTCCTTTGGATTAGTAACTCATACCCAAAAGGGGATTCTGACTCTAAATTATACTTACCTCTTTCTGCAGATGGAATGTCTTAATGGATTATTGCTACACCACCCCATCAGGGAACCCAAATGATGATATTCGATATGATCTCTTCCTTAGGTAGGTGTCCAAATTATATAGTAATAACAAGGATCCAATTGTAGATAATTGAAATGGAAAATCTAAGTCAGATAAATTATAGGGTACTTTTAAAACTTTTAAGTTTAAAGTTTTACATTTTGAACTTTTAGTCCTTATAAAACTAGAAGTATAAAAGTCTAGAACGGTAACATGAAATGCTGATAAGGCTATTGTCGAATGAGAATTGCAAGTAAATTAGGGCCATCAAAGATGTTTTATTCATGTTTAGGACATATGGGAATATTTCACTGTCTTAGGAAAAGCAGAGTTAGGATATTATTGGCAATAAGAGAAAGGCAATGGTGAGGGTACTATTTATCCACAGCTAGACTGTCTCATCATTTGTCAAAAGAAGAGTAAAATTAAAGTAATGGTCTAGATAATTCAGACCCCAAAATGCTTTTCTTCATTTATCAGTATTTAATATGAAAGCATAATATAGCCAACCACTCCTTTTTTATCAGCGCCAATAACTTCAACTTCATTCCCCAATGGACAGTGACAGACTGAATGTAATCTACATTTGAGGAAAGGGGACATTGATCATAAAAAAAATTCAATCATCCAAGTTTCCTTTCAGCATTTTTATCTGACAGTAGAACAGACTTGCGAGTCAAGCAATGACTTCTAATCATGCTTATAAAATGCAGTTGGCTCAGATCCCTGCCACTTATTGATACATGATGGGAAAAATATGATGGGAAACCAAAAGAATATGTTTTACTGGCTAATCAAGGTTAAGATGATGTTCAGAGGGCATTCTCAAATTGGCACTCATATCCTTTTGCTGGAAGTGTTAATTTGGGCAACACTTTTGGGAAAACAAGTCAGTATGTATCAAAACCCTTAAAGATTTCATAATCTTTAATTCTACACCTACAAATTTGAAAGAATGTTCTAAAAACTTCATATTTTTCTGATCTATCATTGATATTTAAAATAGTAAAATATGGGAGCAAACTGGATGTTTAACAATAAGGAAATGGCTAGATGAATCTGGAGCACCAGCAAACTGAGAGCTCACACAGAGACTACAATCACATAGAGTTACTTATAAAACAGAAAGAAGGAAGGTTGGCTCTATTTTATCTTCTATCTTTCTATCATCTTGGTACTTCTATCCATAGAACTATGTGGTTCTCTAAAATTTAAATGCATTGAAATATGAAGTGAAGGAATCAATGTATACATATACAATTGTAAGTACAATGGTCCTCATTTAATATATTATAGAAAAGACTGTAAGGAAATACATCAGAAGGTTCACAGTGGCTGTTTATGCATGGTAGGATTGTGGATTATTTTATTTTGACATTTTTCTTATTTTCCAAGGTTTCTGTAATAATAATTCATATTGATAATTTGGAATATGATCATCAAACTTCTAGTATGATGATAGCTTGTTCTGAATCTTTCTATTTTTTTTTACATAGAAACTGAGAGTTAAATGGGTAACTTAAAGTAGTCTTCCAGATATCAGTTTCAGTGACAGTAAGAGGAAAGGAAAACCTAGAAGTTCCAAAATATGTATTAGTGTTGGTGAAAGCATGTAAGATCAGAAAGCAGTGTGGAGAGAGGTGGAGGAGCAGCAGGGAAAAAGCAGTGCTGAGGGGTCCCAGTGGTGGCAGATCCCAGATGCAGCCAGCAGAAAGCACAGCTAGATAGAGAGGGCACCACACTGGGTGTAGTTGCTAGGAGCAGGGCTGAGACCCAGCAAGCCATGAGGGCTGGGGAATACGGAGACTGAAGGGGGAGAGAATGTCCAGAGCTGCATAAGTGGCAGCTCTCACAAAGTTCCAGCAAAAGTACACCCTAAAGGTGAAGGATTCACCTGGGAAGGCAAGGGCTCTACCCTCGGTGCAATAGGCTTATGATGGTGGTACCCTCATAAATATCTTTAAGTTCAGAGAGGCAGAGAAAACTCAGCCACACAATTATACAATATTCAGTGAGAACTTGTTTATTATTGAAAGCGGAGGAGGGAGCCCTTGAGTTGAGGAAACCCTTGAGAAAGGTCATTATCATTTCATATTGATCTAGAAGTCCTCTGAAAATAACATGTCTAGAGAAAGCTGATTCTTTCAAATATGTATCGTAAGCAAATCAGGGCATTTCTTGTAGTATTCTAATATGCTACAAGAAAAATGTGGAAAAGAGCTGAAAAAAAAACTCTAAACATGACTTTAACTCATTGGAAAAATGTTATCGTGGAAAAATAAGATGTCCAGTTAAATATTTCAACATTAAAAAGACTAAAAAGTAATCATAAAGCAACAAAAGCAAAAATAAACAAATGGGACACCTTAAAATAAAAAGCTTCTGCACAGCAAAGGAAACCACCAATAAAATGGGAAGATCAACTTAATAGGAGAAAATATTAGCAAATTGTACCTGATAAGTAGCTAATATCTAGAATATATAAAGAACTCAAAAAATTCAACAGCAAAAACATGAACAATTTGATTTACAAGTGGGTAGAAGATCTGAATAGACATTTTCCAATGACATACAGATGGCCAGCAGATACATGATAAAATGCTTAACATCATTAGTCATCAGGGAAATGCAAATCAAAACTGTAATGAGATATCACCTTACACTTGTTAGAAAGGCTATAATCAAAAAGAAATAACAAGTGTTGGTGGGGACGTAGAGGAAAGGGAACACTCGTGCACTCTTAGTGGGACTGTAAATTGGTGCCGACATTATGGAAAACAGTATGGAGATGCCTCAAAAAATTAAAAATAGAACTACCATATGATCTAGCAGTTTCAATTCTGGGTATTTATCTGAAGTAAACCAAAACACTAATTTGATAAGCTCCTATGTTCATTGCACCATTATTTATAATAGCTAAGCTATAGAAGCAATCTAAGCATCTGTTGATGAATAAAGACCATTGGTATGAATCTATACAATGGGATATTATTTAGCCATAAAATAGAATGAGCTCTTGCCATTTGTAACAACATTGATGAACCTCAAGGGCATTGTGTTAAGTGAAATAGGTCAGACAGAGAAAGACAAATACCACATGATCTCCCGTATAAGTGGAATCTAAAACTAAAACAAAAAACCAAGTTCAAAGTTCACAGATTATTGTTTGCCGCAGCTGGGGCATGGGGAGTGGGAGAAATGAGTGAAGGGGGTCAAAAGGTAAAAAAGAAAGAATAGCTGAAACAAGAGAAAATGAAAAACAAAAGAAGGAGAGAAAGTATAAGGCGAGGCAAGAAGACAAGAGGGTGAAGAGAAGAGATGAGGGAAGGGAAAGAGACAAAGGAAAGGGGAGGAAAGAGAAGGGAAGTGAGCAAGCAATAAAAAAGGACAGTAAATAGCCCTCTTTGTAATAAATGTAAATAATATGAAACCACTTCTGGTTTTTGGGAAGAGGGAGTAGGTGCATTTTCCCTTGTTCCTCCTAAGTATAACAAAATTCCTGAATGTTATATACAAACAACACAAGAATATCAAAAAGATGGAGAGTTAGACCGGCTAGGGACCTTGAGACTCAAGGAATGATACAGTGGTGAGTTCCCTGGGTTTTCCTTTTGCCTTCTGTATCCCAGACTTGGAGCTGAGGAAATCAGTAGCCCAGAAATGTCAATGGGCACAGATATGAAAGAATGAATAAAGGAGGGAAGGAAAGGAAGGAAGGAAGGAAGGAAGGAAGGAAGGAAGAATGATAAAGGCTGCCCTCTTAAGCAAAAAGACTAGGAGCAGAGCAGCCTAGTAGGACAGAAAATTTGTACACAATAACTTTAGTACTTTAGCCTAACAAAATAAACTGTGGCTTCATACCCACCCATGCCAGCAAAGGCTGAGTGGAAAGCCGACCACCCTTGCCTGGTTGTAACAAGGTAGCCCAGTCTTCTCACTGGAGTGATTTCAGAGAAGACCACACCCACTTGATAATAACAGAATACCTTTCATGCCCCACTGGATTGATGTCAGAGGAGTCCCAGTGGAGAGTTAGGACATTTACTACTAACTACCCCACTGTAACAAGGCCACAGTCCTTGTGGTGTTGGTGAGGCCACTCCAACCCCACCCAGTCAGGGAGGTATCAGTGGAGTGCTAGTGGGGAGCAGAAACTCCCTCCCTTCCCAGCATTAGCAAGACCTTTCATCCTGGAGTGTCAAGAAAGGCCAGGAGAGAATAAGCTTCCACTCCCACCTGGCAGAGATGTTGCAGTATGCCTCCTTCCCAGGATGGTCTTGTCAGGGGAAGTCAGCCAAAATGCAAGGTGCATGTAAGATCCAGAGTGCCGGACATAATGCTCCAAATGCCTCAGGTTCAGGAAAGAATCGTTTGTCGCAAAAATCAGAAGACCTCAAGCTGGATGATAAAAAGGGTATAAATAGATGTGACAGAGACTTTAGAATTATCTAAAAAAGATTTTAAAGTGGCCATCATCAAAACGTTTAAACAAGCAACTATAAACGTGCTTATTACAACTGGAGAAGCAGGAAGCCTCACAATAAAGAGAAAGTCTCTGAAAAGAAACTGAAGACATAAAGAAGAAACAAATGAAAAATTTAGAACTTAAAAATACAGTATCAAAGAAGAAAAGCTAAATATGCAACTACCATACAATATAGCAATTGTCTTTGTGGATATTTTCTTAGAGGTTCATACAAGAAAACATGTATACAAATATTTATAACATCTTTATTTGTAATAACCAAATACTGAAAAAAGAACCCCCTGATATTCTTCAGTGGGTAAGTACGTCCATACCGTGACATACCACTCATCAATAAAGAGGAATTGATTTTTGATACAACTATTTGGATGTGTCTCCAGATAATTATGCTGAGAAAGAAAATCTAATCCCAAAAGGTTATGTACTGCATGATTCCATTTATAAAATACTTTTGAAAGAACAAGATTGTATTAGGAACAACATCCTAATGGCTAAGTGAAGTTTTGCCCCAAAAAGTAATCATAGTTTTGACGATGGAATTCTAAGAACTCAGGTAAGAAAGAATAGGATAGTAAAAAGGCAAGGCTATGAGAATGTGAAAAGGGAGCTGGAAGAATTTAAGATGGAACAGAAAAAAGAACTGTTTCACAGAGACATTTGTGTAGAACAGAAGGAAGACATAATTAGGTGTCCATGGAAAAATAGATACAGCAGAAAGCACAGTATGGGACAGAGAAGATAAAAATAGGAGATATATATAAAAAAAGACAAATGGAAAGGGAATACAAAAAGGATTAGAGTAAGAGAGGGAGAAATAAAAGGCCATTAGGCCAGGGGAATCCAGTACATGCATAATATGCATAATTAGAATCCCCTAAAAGAAACCACAATAATAGATTAGAGCATATATATTAAAGTGTAACCCAGGAATACTATCCTAAAATAAAAGAAGACACAGCAATGTAGTGAAAGGATGTCTTGGATGAAACTGAAGCTTCCATAAAGTGGAAACTAGGGGAACTATAAAAAGACATAGTCAGAAGCATAATAAAAATGGGAAACCTTAATTCCACTCTTCTAAGAAACTTAGTTCTGGTGGTCAACAATTAAAGATATAGAAGATCTGAATGATATAATCAATGAGCTATATACTAATAGCTGGCAATAAATACATAACAATATCAAAAATGGAAATTCACCACTACTTGGAAGCTTAAAACACTTAACACATGGATCAGAAATGGAAGTATGAACCAACATTTCATAGTAAATAAAGAAAAAGTTATTTGCAAAAAAACCCAAGTAGAATCAGATACTAATCTAATCAAAAATAAAGGGATAAATGACAAATCCATAAAGAACAAAAAACACGGAAATGAGAAAGATATGGTCTACCAGATATTATAGTTAATACAATCTCTAAAATTATTAAATGGATGTGATAGTATGGAAGACTAGACACATAGACAAAAATTTAGAATAGTAAATTGAGAAACAGATACAAAACAGGGAAATTTACAATATGACAGATTGTGATATCACAAAATAGTAGGATAAACAGAGGTTTTTAAAAATAATATTGGATAATGAATAACTATAAGAAAATATAGCAATGGATCTGTACTTCACTCAATACATCATGATAAGCTGTAAATAGATTATTAATTTAAGTGGAAAGACTACAGCTTTAAAAGTGGTAAAAGAAAATGTATTAACATAAGAAGCATTTTTAAAAGGTTATAGCAGGAAAATCTGTCTTCCATCGAAATACTAGAAGCCATAAAATACCAAAAACTTAACATACAAATAAAACCTCCAGGTGTATACACACACACACACACACACACACACACACACACACACACACACATAATTATGTCTAAAGCTAAACAACAAAGTAAAATACTTTGCAACTTATGTAACAAGCAAGGAACTGCTCCTCCTAACATATAAAGAACTTGCAGGAACCAGAAAAAAATATCAACAACAAGGCAGACATTTAGGCAAAGGGCATAAACGATTTTCAGATAAAGAATCAAATGGCTCTTATATCTGAAAAGATGCACATATTCATTTCCACTAAGAAAAATGCATATGAAAGTTGTATGGCAATAGTTTATTTTTCCTATCCAATGGAAAACAATCCAAAATTTTTCCTATATACTTAGTTGATGTAGGTCTGGGGCAAATAAGGATATTTTTCATATATTACTGAGGAAAAATAAACTGCATCAATACTTATAGAGGGCAATGTGGCAAAATCTGTTGGATGATCCTATGGATATATTGCACACATTAAAAATGCTGTACTATAAGGCTATTCATTAATACTTTGAAAAAAACAAAAGATTCAAAACAATGGAAATGAACATAAATAGGGAACTAATTAAACTGGCACATGTGTATAATGGAATACTATACAGCTTTGGAAAAAGAATGAGGAGGCTCACTAAATATTCAGATGGAAAGATCTCTAAGATAAATTGCTCAATTTTGAAAAGCTATAGAGAGTGTGCTATCATTTGTTTAAGAAGGAAGGAAAAATAAGAATATATTGCTTCTGCTTCTATTTGCATATACCCTGAGAAGATACAAGCAAAGTTCACCTCTGGCAAATTTGAATGTGGATGTGGAATGGTCTGGACAAAGGCAGAGATGGGAGGGACACTTTTCACTTTATATATTTTACAGTGTTTGGATTTTTGAACCATCTGAAAGTATAATCTCTCTAAAATTTGACAGTAATATAAATGATCTGTTTAAATTTTATGGTCTAGGTCTCTCTGTCACATTTGGTGTGTTAGCTTATGCTCTTATTAAATATCTGTAACATGGCATGATTTTGTCAGCTCTTAATGTAATGGGGTATCCTTAATACTGCAGAAATTAATTTACACATCCCACTGGGCTGGTACTTTCCAGTAACACCCTGTTTTCACATTCCCTAAAATGCAGCTGTGACAAAGATCCTCAGACCACTGTCATAGAGAATGGCAGAAGCCAGCAGGGCCGATTTTCCTTTGAAGTGTTCCGGTTTGTGAAACACAAGAATCAGAAAATGTCCACCGTCTTCCTGCACTGCGTTACCAAGCTTTGCCGAGCTGATGACTGCCCCTTCTTTATGCCCGTATGTTTTCAGCCACCTTGTTCTAAATTGTCAGGTTGATCTAAGCTGAAAGATTTTCACATGTTTGGAACTAATTTCTATATAGTGGATATGCATCAGGTCAAACAGTTTGAAGTAGGATTTATTCGTTCACCCAGTAAAGATCTTTGTGCCAAGTGTTACAGTGGGGATAAAGATGCATGCATGAATTATAAAGTCAAGTAGCTTAGCCTTCAGGAGCATGATATACTCAGGCAGACATTTGGGTTGTAATTAGAGGCACTGTTCATCCTTCTGAGAGAGAACAGGAAAGGTTAGGAGGTTCGGTGGAAGACATGAAACCTGAGTGTGAATGTGGATGAATCCTGAAGGGACAACAATGAAGTATGAGATACGCTCTGTGCCAAAGGATGGTCAAAGGATGACCACCATTTCCTTCTCTCAGTAAGACAATAGAGCAGAGTAGAGGATTATGGGAAACCCTGGGAAGGCGTCAGGGTTAGCACTCAAAAAGTAGATTGGATCTTATGGTCTAGAATCCCTTGGATTAAAAGCTAAAGGCTATAAAAGGCATGCATCTGTACTGCATACAGACATTATTAAAATATAGATCCATTTACTAGTGAATAAAAAAATTCTATTTTTGACAGGCCCTCTAGGGTCACATCAATATTAACCTGAGAAAAATGCAGGCACATTTTTAAAATTTGAAACAGCTTTAATAGGTTTTTATTTATGCTTGAATACATGTATTTCTTCATCATCATTGATTATTTTAGTTCTAACTAGCTGTATCAGATGGAGTTGAATAGAAAGTCCACATTACCTGTCTCTGCGCTGACCAACATTTCATGGAAGCATTTATTACAGGCTTGAGAGAAATAAAAGTAGAAAAGTTTGATAAACACAGCTCTTTTTCAGGAACGCCATTGAGCTATGTAAATTAATGAAGCAGTGCACAATTATAACGGGAGAAAATAAGAAATGTGACCAAAGATAGGATAAGAAACACTGTAGCAGTTATATGTGAAGTAATTAAATAAATGCACATAAGTAAATGAATAAAATTAAACATGTGGTGCCTCTTCCAAAAGAATCTGTTTTCCAAATGGCCATAAAGAAACAATTTTGTGCCAGTGTGGAATTTCATTTGTTTTCATTAACACCTCAGATTTGCAGCCACAGAGAAAGGAGAGACGTGGGGAGGAGGACCACTTGGAGCCCCCAGAGCACTTCTGGAAATGCCATCCTCTCTGCTGGTCCCATCATTACTCGGAGTGGTAGGAGTGCTTTTCCTTTTTGTGTGTAGTAATAGATGGGGCCAACATGGCTTGTTACTTGACTTCTAAGGAGAGCTCAAAGGGATTGCTAAATAGCACTAATTAACTGTGAGACAAGATAAAGAACTAAGCTACTTTAGTTTCACAGTAATTTCCTGCGTAGTCAACTTTCACACAAAAGGCAATGTTGTCTTTACCCCATTTCCCTTTTACACACACACACATGCACACACACACACAGGTAGACCACGCTGGACAGGTTTCAGCGTCCCCATCCCTGCCCTGCTTTCTGCCCCTGAAGACTGGTGGATGTGAACCATAGTCCCAGCTGCCTTGCCATCTAGTTTTCCATCAGGCTTGGCCAATTGGCGATGCTGTTGGAGGTTGGGAGTGCAGTCCACACAGCTCCTGCCAGACAGCTCTTCCACAGATCTACTCCTTTGGTGTTCTGGAGACCCTCCCCTTAGCCCATTGCCCAGGTGACTTGATTTCCTCTTGTGAATTCTCTGTATCTTTATAAACAGTCCTATTAAACTCTCCTTCAATTGCCCACTTTAAGTAGCATTCATTTCCTCCCAGGATACTGATTATTACCTAACCCATCTGGTGTGCTCACTCAGGCCATGGATTTAATAGACATGACCAGTTATACACATATATCCATGTGTACAAGTATCTGGGCTTCCATGTACATACATGCACACTCTCCAGAGTGACACTGCTTTGTGTCAGCATGAACTCAGAGACATCCAGAACCGGGTGGATGCAACAGACATGCAGTATAAATAACACAAGGTGAAGTCAGAAAAACTGATTCTTGTTCCATTTTTTATCCAAACAAGCTATGTGACTTGGGATTTCACTTCACTTGGCTGGGTAAATATTTCTTCGTTTTTGAAATGAGGCATTTGAATAAGTAAACTTTAAGATTCTTTCTGACTCTATAGTTCTAAAATTTGTCTTAAAAAAAGCAGAATTCTGGTTAGATTATATTGTTATATTTTCTCTCTACTTTATATTAGCTATAAGGCTATTATTATGTTTCAATCAGATTATCTTTACCTTTTCTCCCATCCCTCCCATTCCACAGTGAAGAGAAAGTTGTGCCTGAAATAGGTAACCAAGCAAAAAATGGTTTTAGCCTGAAAAATCGAGACAGTTGGTTCAATTATTCACACCTCTCTGTGTAGACACACCCCTATTTAAAAACAAATGAACAGGCCTTTTAAATAATGCAGAAATGTATTAAATATGAAATTTCAAACTTAGCCCCGAGGTTTGGCATGTGTTTTGAATGGTTTGTAAATGACTGGTTTGTGGTTTGTGAAAGGCCCAATTTTTACCTCTATTGAGCTGTTAGAAATAGCTCATAGAATTACACTGCATGGAAACTTAGTTCTTATTGCCAATAATTAGGAGTGCTTTTGGGTAGGCATAGTAAAAAATATTTTTATTTTTGTGGAACCTATCTGGAGTCAGTTTGCTATAAAAAAAGAACCTTGAAAGTAACATCTCTCTGGCCATGTTGAGTAGATGGCTTTTCTTTCTTACTAACGTCCTTGCTTCCTTCTTACCTAGGCCAAATCAAATGCAAATATTACACATTTTATATAATTTGTTAGTGTAAGATAATTTTTTAAAAGACCAAAATTACTAAGAACCCCTCCTCAAATCCTAGTAAAGATTACCAAGTGGAATGTTCTAACTCTACCAAATCTAACCAGCTACCCCAGTTTGCAGGTTTCATCCAAACCATATCTTGTCACCCAGAATATCTATGCTGAACCTCAAGGAGCTAATGCCTTGATCACAATGTCACTGATGTCATAGCTGGATTTCTTCATTTCCGATTTCAACCTTTTTACTCCCAGCACACTAGGGTTGTCTCTTAGTCACCTCGTTCTGTCTACCAGCAAAGTCCCCAAAGGATCATGTCCAAACTTTCCAGATGCCTTCTGTTCCTCTCTCTGTTTACTTATGCTTTATAATTTTGACAAATAGCTAGAGGATGGTCCTCATTTTTCAGTGATCATGGTGGCCTCACTGCATAGAGGGCCATAAATAATAATATTTACAATATGATACTATAATATCCATGCAAAAATTTATTTTAAATTCCACATAGACACAGACTTCAGAAATCAAGCCATATTCCATCCACACACAAATCCTGTGTAAACTTAATCCAGCTTTATTACGAGGGCTTACCTTCTCTACTTAGTTTCACTTAATTTTTACCTTAGGTCAGCTCCAATTTATCTCACCAGGTCCTTGGCTGATTTTATATAGACAAATCTAACTTCAGGCTTGATTTGCTCTCTTCAAAGCTCTCTGATATTTAGAATTTTTGCTCTGTTCCACTCTTTTCCCCTAGGCGTCTGCCTTAGGTCAAGTTTAATAAGTTGGTACAGCCTAGAACTTCTGTCTTGTTTTGAATGAAATAAAATACATTCTGGTTGTATTTACCCAACATCATTAATCCTTTTGTTAGTTGATTTAGGAAAATATTCACATTCTCAAAATTCAAAATCCTCAATATGAAGTGTTCTTACATTAGGCTCCCAAATACTAAAACTGGTAGGAAAATGGGGTAAATTTCTGAATAATTCAAAATTATAATCACTGGAAAACAATAACATCTAATTGTTTTTGTACAGAAATTCTGATGGAGAAGTCCAAGGTAAACTCTTGTTGGAATAGTTTCATTGAGTTTTATGGGTAGTTACTAAATCATTTGAGCATAGTTTTTTAGCTTTCCATGTGACAGGCCCTCTGCTAGGAACTGAAAATACAGAGAGAACAGGACCATCTGTGCCCTCAGGGATCTTAGCATTCAAAGGTAGATAGACTATTAACGAACATAACTCAGTGGAAAGTTACAAAGTTTGGAGGTTCTGAACTTGAAATATGTGGTCCATTTCATCACACAAGTAACTGAAGATTTAAAACAAATATTTTGCCTGTGCTAAGAAAGGAAAAGTATTCATTCTGCATAAATCTTTTCACTGATGTTCATTCCTTCCATCTATTTCTACTACTTATGTGAGAGAGAAGCAGAGAATGAGAATTTATCTGCCACTTCTGGGTTTCAAACAGCTGTGGTATTACTGCTATCACTTTCCTCAGATGGGTCCTCAGCTAGCTGAATGTTTCTTGAAAAGCCCACTGAGCTTAGTGTTTCAATCTGTTCTAATACTAGAAGATTTCTTTTAGCATAGATGTATATGTTAAGACCAAGTGAGTGTGAGAGAAAGTAGAAGTGTATGATGACAAAAATCTCCTAGAAAGTGTCTATCTCCTCTTTCTGGGCTAGCCACTGCTTTGGCTTTTATTATGATGATGATTATTGCAATGATATGAAAAGTGCAGGATACCACAAACAGCACCCAGATAAAAAGTGATTATCTTTACCTTTATCCACTAATAAACACAATTCCAAACAATCAAATATTACCTGCTTGGGTTTCAGCCATCAGCCAAAGGTAGGAGAGGCTTTCAGTTTCTCAGAGTCCTGGAGCTCATGTGGCATTTTGCCCCCACATGGAGATTTTTGTCCTCAGCCACGTCCTTGTGAGTGACACTTGGGATAATGTTCTTATAAAAGTGTTGGTAATGTGGGAGAAGAGGGAATATTTCTACTTCTTTTATTAACCTCAAAAAACAGGATACAAAAAACAGTGGGGGCATCCAGTCACATCATTTTCGCCTGACTTGAAAAGCACATGGAGGAAGGAGCTTTCTGTTCTTTAATAGCAGTGTTTTTTAAAGCAAGCAAGTGTGGCAAACCGCTCTGGGTCTGCTGGCATCCCAACTCTCAGGCATGTACTCTTTCACTGGCTTTTATTCTCCATATAAACTCTTAATGCTCAATGGCAATAAAAAATAAATAAAAATAAAGCAAAGTAGTGTGATTTCTAAAGAATGACCTTTAAAAAGGAATTTCAGAGCATTATTTATTCTCCTCCATGTTCCAGTGAGGCAGTTAGTCTTCGAAAAGAGCAAAGCACATCTTTTGGATGAACTGATCACAGTCCATGAGAAGGAAGTGTTTTTATTGAATACTGTTGGTCAGAGGTCAGGAGTTTCCTAAGGGTGTCCTAGAACAAAAAGTTGTGCTGTTTCTCTTTTTGTCTTGTAACAGCGCTCTGCCCCATTCTACAGGATCCTGTGAATGAGTGCTCTATTAGTTTTGGGCATTGAACTTCAGGATCAAACAGCAGAGCCATCACTTCTGCCAAGACTCATATGTCTGAAAAGAAATGCCATCAGATGGTTTACAAATATCATACCAGGTTCTCCTATCAATTGTTTCAAATACTAATCCTGGAGTTTTGTACTTTGAGATATTAATCTCTATAAAAATATTTTCCATACTTGGCTAGTTTATATTATTTTAGAAAAAGGGTTAGAGATTGAGCTTTTATTTAAGCCTATGTTGACTTTATCATGGAGGCTGTGACAGATGGAAGTTTCCTCATCTGTAAAATGGGGGTGGTAATTATATCTAAACCGTATGCCTATTAGGAAGATTAAATGTGACAATATATGAAACAGCAGTTGGTAAACTGCATAGCATTATATGCATATTAATTGTAATAATATTTATACTTCAAAATCAGTCAACTGCATACATGTTATGCTTCAAAACACAAATACTCATAGACACGTCCACATCCATATATTTAAACACAAATATGAAATAACACACTCACTTTATAAGCTCAAGGGTTAATTGCTATATGGCTGCAAAATGGATAACAAGAATTGAGAAACCAAGTGAATGTGCTCATTGCATCTAGTGTTATGTTTGCTAAGGAAAAGTGAAAAAAAAAACCAACTTCAATCTTTTGCTTAATAGATACAAATAAAACTCCAACTAAAGCTTGGGAGTCATGTTTTCTCTTTATTTGGTTATTAAGTGTGAATTTATCTTCTGGGAACTTAAAATGATGTTTTTGCAGATTATGATGCGCAAATTGGCAACACTTAAAATAGAGCGTCACTAAATAATGAATATTTCTCTGTGACAGAATAACAAATGGCAGGTTATAGGGCTATAAAATATGTAATTGCTGTTAACAATTACTGCCCCCTCTAACCTGACTAAAGAGAAAATGATGAAGAAAAGTTGGCAAGGAAAAATACAGCACAGTATATTTTGTGATTGTGTTTGTATGCCCAGGGTAGTGGGAAAGTAGAATGGTTTAGGAGAATTTCCATCATTGCCTTCCTCATGGAGCTAGTGGGCAAAGGTGAGGGGCCATGTAGGTAAAAAGTAATTATAGAATTATAATGAAATCAGGTAAATATTTGGAGACAAAATACTGCTTTCCTTTTTCTTTTTTTTCTATTCCAGATGAGACTCCAACCAACAACTCACAACTTGGTAAGATAATAAACATAAAAATAGGATCTAAAAAAAGTTTAAGTATTTTTTGGTGATCAGTTACTAAACTGCAATCAACTAAACATAATGGACTCTGGTTTTACAAGTTCGGTATATTTATTTTAAATGACAGTTCACCGAGGATTTCTGAACTCGTATGTGACCTGTTGGTCAATTTTTATTGCATTTTATAGGTGATTTTTTTTTTTGGTTGCCCAAGGGATATCAGGCCTTTGAACCATATACTTCTCTGGTTATTGGATTGAATTATAGTCAAATAGATTGTAGCATGATCCACTATCATGCTGTTTTTCTAAAAGATAGTGATGACAGATGTTTTACAGGTATAAATTGGGATAAACTGATATAAATCTGATATTGGACCTTTCTGCCTTTCCACTGTACGTATTATCACTTGCAGGTTCTCCAAGTGAACCTTCTTTCCAGCTCAACGCCGTCACCAGCGCACTGATATCAGGAGTGGTCATTCTGGGCGTTGTGAGCTTTTCTCTTCTGGGCTCACTGGCCCTTCTGCACAGGAAGGCACCCACCAGTCTGGTGTTGAATGGCATAAGAAATCCAGTCTTTGACTGACTGTATCAGGTCCCTGCTCTCTGTAAAGAAGGCTTTCCTGACTATACCATGTGTGACTAAAGTCAGTGTTCCATCTGATTTGACTGCCTGCCAGCCTTTGTTACTTGTAGATTGATAGATTTCACAGTGTAGCTTGTCAACATGATGATAGGGAAAGAATTTTGATCATTTTGTTTTTGTCACTTATGTATGTGGTCAGCTTTGTTTGGAAGGCACCAGTAATGGGTTTTATACCAATAAACAATATTCAGGACTTAGAACTTACAGGATCATATTTCATTTTATTTCACTGTTTTCTTGATGGTTATAGAGAGAAAAAGGGGGCATAGGAAATACTGAATTTGTTTCATTTTTTTCCCCCTAAGCATTAAAACCCAATGCAATGACATTTGCATATTTGGTACTAAAATGAAAGTTGCTTTTTATTTTATTCTAGATAATTCCACTTTGTGGATATGTTTTAATTGGATTGGCCAGTTTGGACACCTGAGATTTAATTCCTCATTCTATGACCTCCTGTGTCCAAAGGATACTAAGTGACTCTAGATAATTTTTCATTTAGATAGAAGTGACTGAGAACACTGGCACATATTGACTCTCCTCCTAGGTACACAACTCAGCTGCTGTAGCATCTGTGCTTCCAGCAGTGAGGCAACTGCAAAGATTGTTCTCAGTCCAAGAACCATTACATGGCAAACCAGCCATAGCTGTGGGCAGAGAACACTGTCCCCACGGTCCCCACACACAAGCATAGTGTTCCTATGGGGGATTTTAACAACCTGGATTTTTTTCCCCCAGAACAAAGAAGAAACAGATTATGTATGTTTTGCAGAACATTGTCCCCATGAAAAAAATATTCCTTTTCCTACAAATTTCTGATGCTAGCAGAACAAATAGTCTGGAGGAGGCCTACTTATTAAGATGTCTTCCTGAAGGTATCATGATTGCCATGGAATAAAGGGAATAGTCCTCTAATAGTAAACCACAAGAAGCATTTATCCAGTCTTTGACTGACTGTATCAGGTCCCTGCTCTCTGTAAAGAAGGCTTTCCTGACTATACCATGTGTGACTAAAGTCAGTGTTCCATCTGATTTGACTGCCTGCCAGCCTTTGTTACTTGTAGATTGATAGATTTCACAGTGTAGCTTGTCAACATGATAATAGGGAAAGAATTTTGATCATTTTGTTTTTGTCACTTATGTATGTGGTCAGCTTTGTTTGGAAGGCACCAGTAATGGGTTTTATACCAATAAACAATATTCAGGACTTAGAACTTACAGGATCATATTTCATTTTATTTCACTGTTTTCTTGATGGTTATAGAGAGAAAAAGGGGGCATAGGAAATACTGAATTTGTTTCATTTTTTTCCCCCTAAGCATTAAAACCCAATGCAATGACATTTGCATATTTGGTACTAAAATGAAAGTTGCTTTTTATTTTATTCTAGATAATTCCACTTTGTGGATATGTTTTAATTGGATTGGCCAGTTTGGACACCTGAGATTTAATTCCTCATTCTATGACCTCCTGTGTCCAAAGGATACTAAGTGACTCTAGATAATTTTTCATTTAGATAGAAGTGACTGAGAACACTGGCACATATTGACTCTCCTCCTAGGTACACAACTCAGCTGCTGTAGCATCTGTGCTTCCAGCAGTGAGGCAACTGCAAAGATTGTTCTCAGTCCAAGAACCATTACATGGCAAACCAGCCATAGCTGTGGGCAGAGAACACTGTCCCCACGGTCCCCACACACAAGCATAGTGTTCCTATGGGGGATTTTAACAACCTGGATTTTTTTCCCCCAGAACAAAGAAGAAACAGATTATGTATGTTTTGCAGAACATTGTCCCCATGAAAAAAATATTCCTTTTCCTACAAATTTCTGATGCTAGCAGAACAAATAGTCTGGAGGAGGCCTACTTATTAAGATGTCTTCCTGAAGGTATCATGATTGCCATGGAATAAAGGGAATAGTCCTCTAATAGTAAACCACAAGAAGCATTTGGTCCTTTACAAGTTCTGCAAAAAGTTTACAAAGCCAAGTTTTAAGCAGCCTATGTTCTTACAAAAAAAAAAATGAACGTTCCCTTTGTTCAGTCTATCCACACAATTGCACAAAGAAAACAATTTAGTGACAAACACCAAACCTAGCATTTGCAGCTGTTAGAAGTGATGTGTTACCTGTAAAAATTGCTGTAGAAACTAATTTCTCTTCAACATTTATGACCCATTAATCAGGACTTAATTTAGTATACTACATGCAGATCACTATGCAATTCTAAATTTATTTCAGATGAAGTGCCTATATGCTGAAGTTAATAATTAAATCAATCATCAAATCACAAAACACCTTTTCTCCAATTTGCCTGAATAATTCAAAAGAAAGTGTTTATATTACGATAATTAGCTATATAATTGCCTCAACTTTCTCTGTCAAGATGTAGATGCAGTTAAAGTGAATGGGATCTGGAAAGTCTTTGGATAATTTATTCAATATAAAAAAATCTAACACTTAAAAAGCCAGTTTTCCCTTCCCTGTCTTACTTCAAAACGACTTTGAAGTGATCATTCTGAACTTTATCTGTGTTAGCAAATTTATTTTCTAATTTAGAGGGAGAAATCTTACAGAAAAAAAAAACATGGAACATGGTACTTTTGTGATCTTATATGTATGTACATGGAGAGTATTGAAATATTCTGGTAAATGTATTTCAGATACTTTAAGTGAATTGCCTTTGATCTGAGGATTATACCCTGTGAACAGCACGTGATATCACTGAAACTGGGCTGTCAGCTGGATTTTTGTGCTTTGGGGATGGCTCCTTTTCTAGGTATTGACCTTTTAAATTTCACACTCCATTTTATAAAACTGAATTGTGGACATACCATTTTGCAAGCAACTTAAATCTCCTATTATTTTTCGCCACCCTTTCCTCATGAATGGGAGAATCAAAGCTATAATGAGACAAACTAGGTTTTGTATAGATTTGTTCTTATAAACCTGCAGTTAAATGTAGTATTTAGTTATACTGAATATTCTTGTTACCATAGTGTGAAAACTTTACAAAATATGTGCAAATGGTCCTTCAGTTTTAATACCTCAAACTGTTTTATGCACTTCAGGGGTAAGGTCTGATGAAATGTACAAGATGATTGTTTAATAAAATAATTGTAAAAGAATATGCTTAAAATAGTGACTTTTTTTTTTAAGTCATTTATCCTTTTTTCTTTCAACCTTCTAGTCCTACTTTCCCCAGCACTAAGAAGAACTGAACTTAAAGTCAGCTGCCTCCTGCAGCAGGGAAGGGCAGGGGAAGCTAGGTGCAGCTCGTCCTCTGCACACTGTGCTTCCTGGTACAGCCCTGGGCTGGGAGACACATCCATGATGTCAGCGGGAGGTAAAGAAGTGTACCTCTGACTTGAGTCTGAGCTCTGACTAAAACTAAGACTATACATTTTCAAACTTTGAGGGGAAAGTTAAAACAGGAAAGAACAAGGAGCTCAGCTTCTCCCAGAGCTGCAGTCTCTCATAACGGCTTGTGCGGGGTCCTGCTGTCATCCCTTGTTTTGGCATGTGATGCACAGCTGAAAAGAAATCCTTTTCGTGACTCAGGGAGAATCCAGTCGTGCAGAAGTGAGTACTACCCCGGGTCCTCAAGTATCAGCGAGCTTCGGGAGCACCACAGACATGAAGGGGCTTTGTCAGCTGTGGAAAACATGAGGCAGGACATTTCTAGATGTGAGAACGAGCAGGAGGAGTCTGTGGGAAACATTTGTTTGTGGACATACATGAGGCATAGTTTGAGGGATTCCCAGAGCACTTGGCAGGAGAGAATTATAACAGGCTGGAGAAACTTCTGTCATGACAGTGGGGGTTATTAGGCCAGCATATATTTGCTTTCATTCCATATTTATAAGGAGAGAAAAGCAAGGTGATCATTGCTTCTGAGAATGAGGTTCCTCAATTATTTATAAATGGGAAGACATTTAATATAAAACAATCCAATTTGGTGATTTGGAAAAAAACATTCTTGGGTAGGAAAAAATCAAATATCAGGGTTTAGTCAGGGTTCTCCAGAGAAAAAGAACTAATAGGATGTAGGTACATGAAGAGTTTTGTTTAAGGAATTGGCTTACACGATATTGGAGGCTGACAAGTCTCAAGGTCCAGAGCCGGGGGCCAGGAGAGCCAGTGGTGTGGCCCTGTCCGAGTCCGGAGGCCTGGGAACTAAGAGAGCTGACAGTGTGTTTCTAGTCTGAAAGCAAAACCCCAAAAAAGAGCCATTGTTTCAGTTCATTCCAAGGGCAGCATCCCAGCTTGAAAGGCAGGCAGGCACTAGGAATTCCTTCTTAGTCACAGAAGGATGAGACTCTTTGTTCTATTCTGATTTTCAACTGATTAATTGAGATCCACCTACATTACGTAAGGTAATCCGCTTTGCTCATTTATTCAAATGTTAGTTTTATCCAGAAACATGCTCTAGGTGCACCCAGAATGTTTGACCAAATGTCTGGGCAATATATGTTCCAGTCAAGTTGACACAGAATGAATAATTTCAAGGCTGGAAAATTTGTAAACATGCCATCAATATGTATCACAATTTCAAAAACCAAAATGTCTTAATAAATCCAGTGACAGAGAATAAGTAAATAAAAATATAAAATTTGACAGTCTACAATTGAAATTATTCGGAAATATTTAGTGTCTGGGGGTGGAGGCTTATGAACAGAGGGTCCTCTTTTATATTAGCTAACAGTCTGGATCAAATACAGAAAAGACAGGACCATGAATAGTTGGTACTGTGAGCTCCAAAGTCATGCAAAATTATCACATATCATCAAGAGAAATAGGGCAGAAGGAGCTCTGGCATTGAAGTGATGGACCCACACCCTGGAAGGTTGGCACTGGAGCAGCGAGTGACCTCAGTCTGGATAACAGGCCAGAAGCAATAAAGGACATAAAATAGCAAAGCAGAGATAATAGCCCGTAAATACAAGGGAAGTGCTGGACATTGGGAGGAGCAACACCTGCTTCGTGAGAAGAGTTCACAGTATGCGACAAAAGCAGAATCTTTGATAACTGTTACCCATATTTCTCATAATGGTGGCCCGTCTCCTCCAGAGGGTCAAAGGAAGTACAAAGCGGATAAACGTAAGTTGTATTTCCATGTTTGTGAGAATATCTTGCCTGATTGCTTATCAGCAGTTACAATCTCAGTTTTAGTCAGTTTGAAGAACACAAGAGAACAAAAATAGCCTTGATTAATGCCATTTTTTGCTAAGACCTCAAAGAGAGAATTGGTTTGGGGGCCTTCAGAACCTATGAATGGGTTCTGAACATAATACTTGGAAGTTCATGCTCAGTAAACTTCATTTGTACAATATTTGTATTGGCAAAGTAGAACTAAGAGCTCAGATTGTTACCTGCATAGTTCAAGCCTCCAATTCTTTTTTGTGTCAAGTATCTGGATGTTTTGTTTTACTTTAATTACCCACATAATTACCTCAGTTTTCCTTTTCATTTTCTATGTTGAAAAGAGAAATTCTCTCATTATGTGGAGGTTTAGTCAAAGGCAATGTGGCTTAAATTGTGAGGATAGTTTTCTTCTGGAGCAGAGCTGTATCAGCATTGCCCAAAGCAAAATCCCTTACTGAATAATCCCATTGGTTTGGCTAATCAACTAACACTGGCAAATGATGGGAGAGTTGTGGTTTGACAATTTCATGCAACCCTGCCTCA